GTAGAAAATGAAGGCTAATCATGTTTTGGGTGTACTATTCCTATAAGTTATCGTAGGTTATATTGTATTTTATGTTTAAAAATATTTTTAGATGAAGCCAATAAATGTAAACGTAAAAATGTAAGGAATATGTGAACGAGGATGCTTGTGAACTAGGATTTTAAATCATTTTTAAAACAAGTACTGTAAAAAAAAAACATGGAGTCAATTTGAAACTGAATTCAGATAAGTGATATTAGAGGAAAAGGATGATGCAACTAGGAAATTAAAATAAAAACGCAATGGCTGAAACGTTCCTATTCCTTTTAGGCTGATCCAAGATTCTGGATCATTTTAACGATTAACTGCAAAAAATTACTTTGAGTCTTCATGTTGACATACTTATTTTTTTTTTTTTTTTTAAATCACTGTTAAGTTAGTCAGAAATAACTCCTGGATCGGTCACATGACTTTCTTGAACTGACAAGATGGTGTTTAGGACTAAGGTTCCACGCATTAATGGACACATCACTAGTATTTCATATATTGTATTTAATCATTTTTATTGAAATTTAATCCCTCCGAGGGAAAAATCTGCTTAATTCACTGAAATTGAGCTTTTAAAGGAAACACTTAAACTGAGTATAGAGACAATGATTTATTAAATAAAAAAAAACAAAAAAACAAAGATGTCTAACAAGACAGAAGTGACCTGCTGACCACTTCCTGGAACACAGGCGCCACCTGCTGGCTGCTTTCATGTTGGTACAGGACAGAGTTTCACATTCAAACATCAGGATCATCTTAGCGCGGCTGAAGGTCTCAGTAAACATTTGGGACTTAGTCGTCCGTCCGTCCGTCCGCTCGTTTGAGGCACTCCGATTCTAGACGTAACAAAACGCTCACAGTCGGTAAGAAAACTGGTTTAATCCGGATCAATCAAGACAGACGTTTATATTACAAAACAAAACATGAAAAATTAGCAGAAAACTACAAAATAAGAGTCCAGGCATTGACAGAGAAGCCCCCCCTCCCCCGTGGTCCATTAAATGGTTTGTTTCAGCCTGCCGGAGGAAACCGGTTTGGTTCAGACCAACAAATCAACTTTGGAGCAGAAGGTCTGATGTTCTCCTCCTCAGTCAACTGAATCTAGAAGGTTCTGTGCACGCCGCAGCCAGCAGGCTGAAACAAAGCTGCAGTTTCGGTTTAATGAACCCCATGTTAGCGTTTCCCTCTGAGCTTGTGACGTGACGAGTTTGGTGCCGGTGGAACAGGGAGGAGGGCTCTGGGGCACCAGATGGGCTGTTAGCTCTCAGTCCGCCGAGCCATCAAACCATGTGACGCTCCGGATGAATCGTGGTCCGTCCTCCAGCTCAAATCTGATGATTCAGTCTTTCCAGGGTCAGGAGGCCCGGCTCAGAAGCCCATGCCGCCTCCCATTCCTCCCATACCCCCCATGCCGCCCATGCCTCCTGGCATCTCCTTTTCCTCCTTGGGGATCTCCGTGACGACGGCCTCGGCGGTGGAAAGAAGAGAGGCGACTCCTGCGGCGTCCATCAGCGCGGTCCGTACCACCTGCAGGGGGGGAGGAGGAGAGCAGGTGAGGAAAAGCATGATGCTGCCACCGCCATGCTTTGCTGTGATGTTTTCAGATCATTTTGGACCAAAAACTAGAATCTGAGCTGCTTGAACAAACATCTGAAGTGTATTAATAATGCGTCTGAACCAAAGGGGTGGATCTATTCACTCCATTTCTATGTTAAATTTAAGTTAAAAAATAAAAATTACATATTTTTTCCAGCCAATATCATGACTTTATGGCGATAATCCTTTCCGCCAAGCATGTCAACACTTTTACTCCATGGTTTCAGTTTTTTTTCCATGACTTTGAAAGCCTGTTTGTCCCGATCAGGCGCTGCAGGACTTTACTGCTAAACCTGCAAAAAACAAGTTCTTACTTCCACTATAATGCATTCATCAGGGTTCTAGCTGGAACTCTGTCCTCCCTTCTGTGCGGTGCAAACCCACTTTAATCATATCGCCACCTAAAGGGCCGGAGGGAGAAATTTAGCCTGTTAAGCCGGGCGTACACTGTGCCATATTTTCAATCGTTTCACGCAGCTACAGCTCACAATGTAAAATGAAACCGCAGGGTTTAAAAGTTCACAGCTCACCATGTTTGTTTTCAGGCTGTGCGACCCGATGCTCTGATGCGATCTACCTGCTCACGCTGTACGTCTAAAAACCAGGTGGGACTCAGCTCCGCAGTGGGATGGCGCTACTCGGACTCGTCTATCCAAAAGATTAAGAACTCCCTGTTTGTCCATGCGCAGTCCTTAAGGTTCTGGTAAATCCGCTCACAACTCTGCTTCAACAGCAGGATTTACCTACTGACCCCTCTCCTTCCTCATTTTTGAGGAGGGAGAAGGAGTGGACTATCGCATCAGGTAGTCAGTGCGCATCATTTTGTACTTCTGCAGCTTTAGAGCCCCGTGAGGAGTTAGCGAGGTAAAAAAAAAAAAAACCCCACATCTTATTTTTGGGGGAAAAAGCTCGAAATGGAACTGGTTTAAAAGCCGAGCGCTACAGCCGCAGTGTGGGAGAATTTCGGATTCAAACCAAATGACCGAGCCGAACAGCTGAACCTATGCGAGTCAGCATGTCGCATTTGTCATAAATAGTAGCAACTAAGAGCAGCAATACAACCAACCTTCACATGCAGCTAAAGCACAACCACCCAGCAAAGTTTCTCCAGCTGGAAACAAAAAGTACAAGCAGTGGCCCGTCTGCGTCTTCAAGTTTGCGACAGTCCACCATCACTGAAGCAATTAATCGGCAGGCAGCATACAAAAAGGACGGCGCAAAGTGGCGCGCGCTCACAGACAGCGTAGTTCATTTAATTGCTAAAGAGATGCTGCCACTTAATATTGTTGAAAAGCCGACATTTCGAAAAATGTTGCAGAGATTTGATAGACAGTATGAACTCCGCAGAAAACATACATATCACCAACGTGATATTTTGTATATACGTTTTTATTTTCACTGTGGTTTTATCTTGTGTTTAGTTTTTATTCAACTGTATTTTAAGTTAACAGAGACTCCATTTGATTTTTATTTCTTGTTTTATTTTGTTAACCAGTGTTCTGTTGAAAATAAAGTGTTTTTATCTTTGGCAGGAAAATGCATGAATTATTACATCATTTCCATTAAATCAGTGTAAAAAGGTCTTCAAACAATATTATCGTTTATCGCAATAATTTTTGAG